GTCAGGTCTTCTCAGACTTCTCTGCCCACAGCATGGCCAGATCCCATGTGAAGACAAAAGGGAGGTGAAGGCTGGCTTCCGGAGCACCTCCTAAGGCATGTGGGGCAGCAGTTCAATGGCAATTAAGTCAGGAATGTATGTTGCCAGACAGGTGAGGGAATAGAAAGTGGGCATGGAGGGAGAGGTGGTGATGCAGGTGGTGGTGCTAGTACTAAGAAGAGCCAATGAGGCAACGGCTGGCTATCTCAGCTGAGGAATGGGCAGGGTGGATTTCTGCATGCAAAAAAAGCAAGATAAGTCAGAATAGCTGCGTTTATCTTTTTATATACCCTGTTTCTGCACGCTGAAATGGTACTTATTCAATTTTAGGTAGAAAGCTTCCCGTCAAGTGGGCCTACCAACTTGTTGGAACATAAAACAGCGCAGCATCATCACATTGTGCCATGTGTGTTTCATGAAGAAATATCCTGCGACCTAAACAGGCAGCGGTTGACTTCAAATATTACTGTACGATTTGTTTTGAACGTGGTTGTTGCTCAACTATTTCAAATTTTGAAATTGGTAGTAGCTATCTAGGAGCCTTTACAAAGGCCTAGCCTCTAGGCTGCTTCGAAGCAAACGACAAATAGGAAGAAAGATTACACTGAAAACCACGTGTCTCCCAGTAGGAAGTACATTACTATTCTATTTCCCGAAAGTTCACTTTTGATGTGTGCGTAACGATGTAAATATTTCTAAATACCAGATCTGACATCCATATATTTGCTTGCCTCATTGGTAAAATTATTGGAATTGCGTCCTCTAGGACCAACAAGTAAAAATAACCTCCCTTTGATATTAATATATAGGAAACGGAGTGAAAAACCGGGGCCATGAAACAGTCCAAAGCCCTGAGGTGGCTCTCGTGTCAACAAAGTGGACCGGAGGCGAAGGTCTGCAAGCTCGGGGCCTGCAGGTGGGGGAACGGTGAGCCTGGATCTCAGGGCTTTTCGGAACAGTCCACTCCCGCTCGGTTTCTCCGGGGCGGGGGAGGGAGGGTGATGAGAAAGAGGATGCCGCGGGGTTGGTCTCCGCCCCGCGTCGGGAGCAGGCCTCGGGCGGTACCTCCTCAAACTCGGACCGTATCCCATCCCCACCCCGGCCCCAATCCTGGGGCTGAGCACGGGTCCTCGGACCGAAAACTGCTGGTCCCCAGGCACCGCGCATCTCTCCAAGGCTCCCGCGGAACCCGCATTTTCCTCCAGAGCCACTCAAACCCCGCAAGCCAAGATCCCAGGTCAGGGGTCTCTGACCTCCCACCATTTCTCCACGTCGCCGCAGCTCATAGCAGGAGGAAAGCAGCTCAAGGTGACACCTTATTTTGGACGGAGGATCCGGGTTCCGGGCCCGAGATGCCGGGCCCGGCTTCCCGTCTGAGCTCACCTGGCAGCGGCACACGATGTCGGCGTCCTGCGCCAGCAGATCCACCACCTTGCCTTTGCCTTCGTCGCCCCACTGCGCGCCGAGCACCACCGTTACCCGGTTCCCTCCCGGCCGCGCCCTGGGGCGGCCGCAGTCGCCGTTGGGCAGGGACGATGCCGCTGGGTTGGTCTCGGCAAACGCCATGGCTCCAGTGACGAGAAGAGAGCCCGAAGCGGACGCAGCGAGGAGTGCGCGAACAGAA